CTGTGCACTTTAAAAGAAATACGTTAGCATGCCGAAGGGCAGAACGGTTGTGAGAGGTCGTGCGTTTGTACTCAGAGTCGCTGTCCTTAGAGAGTGTGTTTGTTGAGGCGGCAAAGTGACAAGTTGCACTGACAAGTGATGCGGCACTTAGGCGCTTGTTAACAGCCCAAATGAGTACGCGAGAATTTTCCAGAGAAGCGCCATCTGCTATTCAGACCAAGCACACTGCTGGTGAGCTTTCATGCGCTTCCGAGAACAGAAAGTGGGTTGGCGTACAGAGACAGCTTCGCTGAAATGCATCTAGTGGTTCTGTGAAAGCTGCATAGGCATTCAAGCGCATTTGCTTGTTTCGCAGCTTATTTGTGAGGTGAATGCAGAGATGAAGGGCCAAGGCATTGACATTTGATATCTTCTCTGCCCATGCTGGAATGACGTTCTCCTCTCCGTTGGTTTGCTCATGATGGCAAAGGACTGCGATTGCGCAGCTGAGCGAGTTTCTGGCGCAGAATGTTAGTTTTCACGGCTTCCCCCTATGCGTTGCGGCACGTTTGTCCTGAAGTAGCAATCCACCGGCACTCGGCAAATTGTTGTTTTTTTCCTTAGATGCGCCTATGCATATAGTGAGACGTAGGCATTGGCGCGAATTCAAATGAACGTTTTGGCGCACGGCATGCGGCTAAGTCTGCACATTAGAGGTGCAACGAACCTCCGAAGCACATCCAGTAGTCTGATCTTGCGTGGAAGCAGAATCTTAAGAAGTGCATCTAGCGGATGCCACGCCTATCTTCTGATCGCATAGCCTGCTCATGTCGAATGGCTTGTAGTGAGAAGGAAGAACGGCGGCGCAATAAAGGTTGGCGTTAAAAAAGTTTAGCGTTCGTTTGGGCAAGGCTCGTTGATTGCGTTTCTGTTCAGATTCAAGCAGATGCTCTTGGCGAGCGATCAAGCGCAGCTTGTAAGTGCCTACTCCAGCTCCAAAGTATTTTACCGATGCGTTCTTCGAAACCTTGTGCTCGTGTTAGGGATTCGTATTAGGAGGCCGAATGCGCCACATGTAGATAACAGGATGGATTGCCGCTGAGGTTGGAGACTGGTGCTACATGTGGTGCAAAGTGTAGAAAGGGTGAGCGTCAACGCTTCGATGCAAGAAGCGTCCACAGCCCGATTGGAAACCGTTGCAAGAGCACCAACTCAGCGAGTGCGTTTTCGATTTAAAGCGACCGTGAATCTGTCTTGGCTGCGATTCAGATGAAGGCTGAAGAGCTGCCCCTGTATACCTTCGTGGAAGTGTCCCTTGGTTTCGCTATGTATGCTAGGCGTGGGTACCAGGTCACGTCCAAACAGTCCTTATTGGTAAGGGTTCAACTGCGAGCTGCCTTGATGCCTTGGAGTATGTTCGCCCCTTGTCTTAGCAGCACCTGCTATGCCATGGACCCAGGAAGCAAGTTTCTAGCGTCACTAAAGGCCATTGTGTTCATCCTGTACATATGCAGGGCATAGTTTATGTTAGAGGGCCTTTACCGTCTAAGCATCTCACATGTCCTGACGGTCTAAATGTAGCCAATGACGACCTCTAAACCTTGGAGTTGACTGGCACTTCGATGTGCGTGTGTGCCGCAGAGTGAACCACAATGTTTCAACAGTACTGCGTGCAAGGCGTGCGTGATTATACAGCTCGTGAGTCGTCACGACTAGGGGAGGTATCTCTGGCAGGGACGGGCTGCGTGTTTAGTTGATCATGCTTGCAGGGATGCAAAACTGGAAGTATGCATGCGATGCAGAGACGCTCTTTTTATTTGTGGTCCGCTGGTTATCATAGCGTTAGCATTGTCCAAGGTGGTCCTCGTGGGGCAAGCCGCAGCGTATTTATAATTTTCCTGCTTAACCTGCGGACTTGTGTTCTACGCAGGATGTGCGCCACCCTTGTGACCCTGCGTCTCACCGCTCCAAAGATCTCAAGCGCACGCGCATCTTAGAAATGGTCGGAAATCAGCAAGTTTAAGTTTGGTTTTGCCTTTGCAGAAGAACGTTTGATTTGCGTGCATTGTAGTAGTACGGGGGGGTTACGGGGTATATGTTATGGCTAACTTGTGCTGCAGCTTCGGGTACTATTCCTGAACTAGCTTAGGGGCGCAACCGGAGAGGGTTTTTGTTTTTTCACCGGAAGGACGAGTGGCATTTTTTGGCGCGCAGGACGTGAGTTTTATTCTGAGCCCAGACGTGTGCAAGCACCAACGCACACCATTGGTGCCTGCGCTAGGAATTGCCCACTACGAACTTTAAGGATCCCCGCCTCTGGCCTTCGGGACTCATTTGCACCTAAACGGACATTGTCGAGAAATTCCGGTTCCTCATCGATTGCCTTCAGTTATGCTCTAGACTTTGGAATGCTTGTGCACCGTGTAGGTAGGGGAAAGTTCATCTCAGTGCTGTCCATCTCTCCGGTGGCTGGAATGCGCGACACTTGCAGCTTGTGGGTTGGTGTATCCCGTTTGGCGGCGTTATTGTATATGGTAGTTGTGTACATAGATAGAGCGGCGATT